TGCGGCAACTGTGTGATGCCATCATGTCAATATGGACCAAAATCTCTGAGGAATGCTTCCAGCACCTTGTAGAATCTATGCCACGAAGAATTGAGGCAGTTCTGAAGGCAAAAGGGGGTCCAACCCGTTACTAGCGTGGTGTACCTAATAAAGTGGCCAGTGAGTGTATGTAATTTATTAGTTTCAACAGGAATATTTCCAGACAATATGAAAATAGCAAAGCTAATTCATCTTTATGAAAATGGTGATAAGTGCGTGTTTACTAATTATAGACCAATATTCTTTTCGCCACAGTTTTCCAAAATTTTAGACAAATTATTTGTAACCAGACTAGCTTGATTTATAGATGAATAGAATACATAGATTCAATGTGGGTTTAGAGTATGTAATTCAACATCARTGGCTCTCATGGAATTAATGGAAGAGATGAGTTCTGTAGATCCGTATTGTTTTAACCGTATTGTTTTAACATTTTTGTTGTTTTGAAGACGGTTTCAACACTATTGACCACATCATTTTCCTTGAAAAGCTGTACAAATAGGGCATTAGAGAATTAGCACTACAGTGGGTATCTAGTTATTTGTAAAATTGGAAACAGTTTGTTCAAGTAAATAATGTGAGATCTGAATTACAGTATGTAATATTAAATGTGGAGTTCCTCAGGGTCCTGTGCTTGGACCAATTTTGTATGTAAATGTGTGTAAATGAAGTGTGTTTTATTTGCAGATGATACCACATTTCTTTGTTAAGGAGAAAATATTAAATGGATATTGGAGATGATACAGGCAGAATTTGTGAAAATACAAACCTAGTTTCAGCTTAAGATATCAATATTTGGATAAAACAAACTACATGATATTTGGTAATAGAAAGAAAACCATTTACAAATGATGGTGTTGAGATTTAGAGTAAGTGAGGTGAAGTTTTTGGGTATTGTCATTGATGAAAAGCTGACAAGGGAATCGCATGTAAATTGCTTAAAAATAAAAGTAGCTAAGTCAATTGCATTGACGACTGTTTCACATTGAATTTACTGTACATGCAAGACAATTACAAATCATATTTTTTTCTTTTAAGAGCTATAGGACTGATTAGGAGAATATGCTATGATTACCCAACAAATATATTGTTTCATCAGTTGGAATTATTAAAATTTTATCATTTGATTGATTATAGTATTTCTTGGATAAAGCTCATAAAAAATATTACCTTCATATATTCAGTTAACATTGTTAAAGAGAGAACGTCATTATAACCCAAAGAGAATGGAGATTTTTATAAAACCTCAATTTTAAACTAGTCTGCAGGGGTGATGTACTGTAATTCAAGTAATAAGTTTGTGGATAAGTCTTGCTATTATTATAAAAAACCTCTAAAACAATATTTATGTTTAAAAATATGATTAAGTCGAAAATAATGGGAAAATACCATTTGTAGTAATTAGTGGAAGTAAAATTCAAAGATATCTGAWGTTGTTTTTGTTTTATTTTTATTTTTTTTTGTAAATATGGAGATTATTGAATCTTGAGTTTGTTTTTTGAAAATAAGGGGCAGATAAAATATTGTATTTTATTTTTGATTTTACTGTATATAGACATTCTTTTTAAATGAATTAAATAAATTTCATGAATAAATTTATGAAAAGGTAAGGCTAGTGGCTCAGTAAGGCTAAAATGCCAAAATGCTGCATAAATCTATGACATTTTGACTGGATATTATCAATATTCAAGATATCTCTAGTTCATTTGGAGATATCTTAAAAGGAATTGTGACTTGTCATAATTTACAGTTCTAGATATCTCTAAGTTAGTTTTGCCTAGTCATCATTTTCTTTCAAGGTATCTGCAATTTAATATATACACTACATACAGTAGCTGAATTGATATACAGTATTTGATAAATGCGAGCCATCACATCGAAACGAGGATTAAGTCCAAAAGTGGTATAAGGAGAAATAGGCAAATATAGTGTTTTGACCAAAATGTTAACAAAAATTGCATTTTGTCAAAATATAATGAATAAAAGCCTTATTAATGTATCATTTGAATGAACTGCCTGAAATATAATCATAAAACAAAATTTTGAAGCACTTTTTTGAGCAGCAGCAACAAAAAAACTG